CATCGACAGATAGCAGAACACCGCAGATCGTAATTTTTAAGGTCTCACTTTCGGGATCCTCTACCCCCGTGGAATAAGGGTTCGAATCGTATACTTGAATGTGCTGATTGTTTAAGTCAAAGCCTTCTGTGAGGATTTTGTCTCTGCTACAGACCCTAAACCGTGCTACTACACCTCAGAAACGAACCGTATCGTTCCGTGCACAAAGCGTACCGTACCGTTCACAAAACGAACCGTTCCGTTCACAAAGCGTACCGTTCCGTGCACAAAGCGTACCGAACCGTACCGTTCAAGTGGTGTAGTAGCACGGTTTAGGGTCTGTATCTTTATCGCTGACATATATCCTCCAGAGGTCACGGTCTAATTGCACGCATTTTACCATATCGCCTATACAATGCATCACAGCTTCTATAATAACGCATTAGGTAATTTTGGCAGTTCACTGTCTTTAAGAAATTAAGATACACAGGTTTCAATAATTGTGCCATGTTTTTTTTTTTTAAACTCAGGGTACCGACAATACTCCGATAGCTCAGAGAAGTTAAGTGAATACGTACTCACTGATCAGCTGTTCACATTTGTCAGAAGTCAAAATCCATATATTAATCCATACAAACATAAATAAATTGCAAAAAGCAAATGTCAAACATAGATATAAACAGATAAACATATAAACACTGAATGATGCAAAATTTTGCCTCAAAATCACCTAAAGGTGCAACATTTGCCAAATTTGCCAAGAATTAACGGAGCCCAAACCCCAACCTATATTTGTCTTTTCTTGATTGTCTCCTCTTGTGAGGAGACTTGGTCCGTCATTTTTTAAATGTTAGTAATTTCTGTTATGTGTGAAGTTTTGCATTATTACGTCACGATCTTTTTTGAAAGATGCATCCAGCGTAAACAATTCGCGTGATTGGTCAACTCATATTATCAAAATTGACACGTACGGAAATAGTCTGTTGCACGAGCAACTAATCAGGGATAAGAAGAGAGTTCCAGTAGTAAAGCTTGCTGTTAGGAGGCGTGTACTATTTACCTTGAACGTAGCTATCAAACTAGATCGTGACGTAACGTAAAACGTCACACTTAACTGCAAACTATACTAATTTAAACTCCCCTGTGCCCAAGGAAGTTTGGTAAAAATTGGCCCCGTACGTGGTTCTTGAACAGAAATCAAAAATGTGAAAAGTTTACTGACGGAGAGACAGACAGATGGACGAACTGACGACGGACAAAATGTGATCAGAAAAGCTGACTTGAGCCTTCGATATGGTGAGCTAAAAAGAAAATATCCCCACATCCTATAAAACTTTCTTAAATATATAATCAAAAGAAAATTAATTTTTTCATGCTTCAAAATGGTACCATAGATTTAAATGATTATTTCTATTAAAACTTTGAGTTTAATTCTTTTCTTGTATGTTTAAAAAATTGGTTTTTGTTTGTTATTTAAATAATTATTACACTCCTGAATTCTGAAATGTCTTCAATTTAACAATTTAAGGGGGATGTACGGCCACCTTTAGTGCAGTGAGAACAAAATGTAAACATTTCTTCAAATGGCTAAAGTACATTATATTTTCATCAAATTTTAAACCCTTATGATAAAAATACAATAAATATGCATAACTGAATGCATGTTGTGCATATATAATCTATACTTTTGCAGAAAAATGCTTTTGATATGCTCCTTAGAACTGCGCAGCTACAGAATTCAGCAGAGCCTTAAAAAATCCAAAAAAATACGCAAACTGTGCATTAATGTTCTCTCTACAACCATTTGTTGAGAAAATGGCTAAATCTTGCACTTTTAAATGATAATTTTAAGTTCAAAACAAGGTATCGTTGTCTTCAAAAAGAGTGTAAAGAACCCTGAAAGTAGTTCACTGATAGCAGCACGTGGTCTATTTTTAGCACAGAATTTTGTTTTCCAGACCTCTTCTTAATATGGAGGGACATAACAATCTTTAAATGTAGAAGATAATTACAGTTGCAAAATATTTCAAATAATATGAACACTTTAAAAAGAGGAATTGTGTTATAGTGTGGCTTGAAGTAATTTATTTAGTGTTATTATCGAACAGTTGTTCAATAGTGTACGTATTGAAATAAACTCTTTCAGAAATGAGCACCATCAAAGTTTAAAATTAAGAGTTTGTAAGTTTGCCACAGATAACTTATAATATCTATCAAAAGTTTAATTATCACCAATGAAACACAAAGAAATTAAACACAAAATCGATATGAAAAACCTTGTGTTAGTATCAAGTAGTAAGAGGGGTGATCAAAAACTTCTCGAACTTTCTCTATATTTACCCAACCTCGATTTAGATTAGAAACAAATTTGGTGCACACTCAAGTTCTATAAATAGCATATGCTGAATAAAGTTTTTCTCACAATGTGAAAATGAAGTCATTATGCAGGTATTTGTGACGAAAAATGGTTGTCTCAGTGGAACTCATTCAACAAACGACTAAAATATTTATGGTTTATCTTAAAATTGCCTTTGAAGTAACGTATAAGAATTTGTTCATAGTTTAATAAGACAAATGACTTCCTAATAATTCAATCAATGATTGGATAGATCGTTTTAGTGAAGGAAGGCAGATGGTTGAATATGATACTTGTTATGTTGCCCGGTGAAAGCAAGTTTGAAAAGGGGTTTGTTTTTGATTAAGCAATATGCTATCAAAGATCTCCAATTTACACTTTGAAAAATACTTGAATATTTCAACAATATTATAACTATCAAATACCTAAGATATCGTTTACTTTTGACCACCCCCCCCCCGTATACTCTGTCAAATAAACATTTACAATTTTCATCACAGCGGAGCAACATTTGAAAAGGAATACAATCATTCAGAGTGGGTTAATAGATTTAATGAATAATTTTTTTTCCATTTGCCCATTTTGTCAAAATTACAAATTTACAGAGTAAAGAAAAAAATCAACATAATTAAATGTTTTATATCATCTTTTAAATGACGTTTGGTGGACCTCCCAACTCAGGGAAAATTATTGGGTCCGTATTTATGGTGAGAAAAAAAATTCCTTAAAATTTAAACATATTTGTTGACGGGAGAAAAAAAAAATCCTGTAATTGGATGTAAAATAAAATTGAGTCGGGCCATTTCTAGGCAATAGATCGGGAGAGAGGGCAACCAAATATTTTTATAACAAATGGTCTTATAAGGCTAGTACATGTTCCATCACATACTTAGTAATGCAAATTTTTTTTTAAATTTTGGCACTATTTTGAAAAAAAGAACATAGGATTTTCGGAAAGGGGGGGGGGGTAGTCTCATTTTTTTGCGATGATAGACATGGCATATGCAATGGAACTTTGTTTGCAAACCTTGTGATTGCTTCTAAATTTCAAAGAAACAACTCAATATATTTTATCAAGCTTCGTATGTTCAATAAGCGAGAGCTTACAACGTAGTCAACATAATGAGACATGATGCGTTTTTATGTCCAAACATTACTCCATACAATGTGTTGGTCATTGCAAACAATCAAGCTATTTACATGAGGTGCCTGAAGGAAATACTTTAACTGCCTATTTTTGCTATCTAACTGCTAAACAAAATAGACATATGTACCAACTTTTCGAATGTAAGACATGTAATTGCAATTTGTTTTTCATGCACCGCATATTGTTTAACATTTTCAAATTAAATGCTAAGCATCCTCCTTGCAGTGCCCCATTTCAAAATAACTTTTATCGCCACAGAAAAAAGACCCGACGTAAACACATATGTTTAGGGCATTTTTTAGCTTTTTTCTGGAGTTTTAAAGAAACCAACAAATTATCAAGACTTGTTCCTCGAAAAAATAAATATAATCATCGTAATAAACGCATCTATCCACAGCAGATATACGCACATGCCAACCACGTGCTCAGTGTAGTAATATTTACTAGGAAACTCGAGCTGCGAACAGAACATTTTTTCCCGATTTGCTGGAGTGGGGTTAAAATCGCGCTTTTTCATTAATCAGACGAAGCGATGCAACAAATAAAAGTAGTAAGTAATATTACCTAATGGTTATAACTTAGTAATTTCTTGTCTTGATGTTATTATGGTCGCATTTATTCTAATATCAATGTTATTCGAACTCTGTGTGACAGAGGAATGGCGGACGAAATAAACACATAGCCTCAGGAAGACACACATATGAAAAATCAAATTTTCAAGAATTTTAGATAATGACAAGAAAAAAGCGAAACAAATGGTTGTAGCCATATTATCAATGAATCAAACTAACACCATTTTCAATGCATTTTTCATCTCGTGAATGCTGTAGCTGCGCAGTTCTACCATGATTAATTTCCTCCTAATTAAAACAAAATAAACTTAATTATTCACTAATTTTGGTCTCTAACAGTAGGTTACTAGTACATTAACACTTTGAGTAACTTTGGGCTAGTTTAGACGAGTATTAAGCGCATTCTTGGCATTTCTTATTTCACACCAGATTAGATCCAATTGGCTTGTACATCCCCCTTAACACTGTTTTAAAAATTATAACACACAACAATGACCTATATTCTTAGTTTGTGTATTTTTTACAGCAAGTTTTTCATATTTTCAAGCCTTCAAAACATGATTATTTGGAATGTTTATGTATGTTTGTATACATTGGTTAATTGATGAAAACTATAGTCTAAATTGATTGTAAAATGTCTGTATTCCGCTGAAAGACATAATATTTTTAAGATCAGATAGCATCATTTTTTTTCAATTTTTATGCCCCCATAAACAAAGTTTCGGGGGTATATACTAGTAGTTTTTTGTCGTGTCTGTCTGTGTGTCTGCAAATACTTTAACCTTGCTCATAACTTTTGATTAAATGGAGCTATGACTTTCGTATTTCACATGTGTATTCCTTGTGACAAGACCTTTCTTTGGGTACCACAAAATTTTACTTTTTGAGTTTTGACCTTGGAGTTTGACCACCTTTTGCACAAAAATTCCAAACTTTTCTCTCTCTCTTAGGCCTCTTCGTGCCAGGTGGCAAATAAGGCAGCCACACAGTCTTTCCACCCAGTCCTATCCTTTGCTTTTCTTTCTACTTCTTTCCATGTCAGCGACAGCCCTATTTCTTTTAGCTCTGCGCCATGTTGTTTTTGGCCTGCCCCTTTTTCTCTTAAATTGCCGTCTGCTGTCCAAAATATGCTCTCTCTTGTGATGTTATGACGGTCTTTTCTGAGCACATGTCCAACCCATCTCCACTTTCTTCTTACAATCTCCACCACTATGTCTTCCTGTCCTGACATCTCCCCGAGTTCGTTGTTGGAGACTATTTTTGGCCACCTGATCTTAAATATGGTCCGTAGGCAACGATTTACGAACACTCTCAGTTTCCTTGCGAGGTCTTTCCGGAGCTTCCAGCATTCTGATCCATATAATAGTATTGATTTTACGTTACTATTATAGATCCTAAGCTTTGTCCTAGTGGTCATGTAGGAGGAGGTCCAAACTGGTTTTAAGATGGCAAACACATGACGGGCTTTGTTGATTCTTGATGTAATATCCTCGTCAGTACCTCCAGATGTTGTTACAGTGCTGCCTAGGTATGTGAAGGTGTCTACATCTTCCAAACTCTCTTCATTAACTTGTATGGGGTTGTTATTCCATGCATTGATTCTCATTATTTTGGTCTTGTTTAATCCTAGACAATCCAAACTTTTACTTTGGTCATATCTTTTGAACAGTAGATACCAGGACTTTCATACTTCATATATGTAGTCTTTGTGGCAAGACCTTTCATTGAGTACCAACAATTTTGACCTTTTGACCTTGGAGATTTCCGTACTTATAAAAAAAACATTTTTAATCCTTGTGACAAGACCTTCATTGGATATAAAGAACCTTGACCCTTTGACCTTGGAGTTTGACCTACTTTTTACAAACTTTAATCTTGGCCATTACTTTTGACAATATGGGCCAGCGCTTTCATACTTCCCATATGCAATCTTTGAGACAAGGCTCTTCTTTAGAAACCAACAGCCTTGACCCTTTGACCTTGACCCCGGAGTTTGTCTTACATTTAAAAACGGTAACCTCGGTCATAACCTTTGAACAGGTGGTGTTAGTGTTTTATATGCAAGGCCTTACTTTTGGTACCAACATATTTGATCTACATTTGAGAAAGCTTAATCTTGGCTATGTTGCCATACAGGGGCATCAGTGTTTCACAAACACATATTTTTTTTTGGTAAAGATACTACACAAATAAAATTAAATGTTTATTAATAACATAGAGACAAATACATTTATAATGACAATTTAAAGAAACCACTCCTCAGTCTTTGACAAAAATTTTTAAAGTACAATAAATAAAATACATTTATAATAAATAAATTAGTTGTCACCATACTGTGAAAAAAATGGCACATTTTGCTGAAATTCTTGAGATGGAAGTATTGACTTCCTTACATACACCAATTTTGTTTTTAGGACTTCACAGTCTATTTGAATCATGCCAATTTTTCCGACAGGAGCTTTGACTGTGTCATTTAGAGTAAGAGCTGGCATAAATAATGATATTCGAGGTCTTTTATTTCTGTTCTGCAGAGTAGCTGGTACTAAATAATAATCTGTATTGAAGGACATGACATAAAATGTGTCATTTCTCCTTGATATGATTTGCCAAAAATCTTCCTGTCGAGTGTAATTGAAGAGCTGTAGCTGGTACTGACTTTGATCGTATTTTGCTGAAAATTTCTGGATTTGTCCTCTTATTGATGACTGAAAGTAACTGGAACGTGGATTTTTTCTTTGTTTCCTCAGTTTTTTTGTTGAGCTTTTCTGTTTTTCAAGTTTAAATCGCTGCATCCAACCTGAAAGCTGTTCAGCTAACTTTATTGATTCAGTTTGATTAAAATATGATGCACAGTTGACTTCACTTTTGTTTGCTGCAAACTCACTCTCATCATCAACAAAAAACTGCTTTAACTTTTGTTGATTGTCCTTTGGAATGGAAGATTTGAAATGATTTTTCTCAACATCAGGATATGACAGAAGTTGTCTTCCTTTGTAACTTGGTAATTTTTCTGCACTGCGTATTTGTTGCCCATCATGTATCAAAGACAGCTTTCCTGAGAAAAAATTCATGCATAAGATCATAAACACTCCCATTAAACAGATTTTCTTCGCTGATGTCAGTGGTAATGATCTTTTAAGATTTACATTTTCTGTTTCATACTCTCTTATTCTTTCTTTAAGCAAATCATTTTCTTCTTTAAGCTTCTCATTTTGGACACTGCATTCATGCAACTGCTCTTCCAGCTGTTTAAGATAGTCCCTCTTTCTTTTTCTGGACAAACAAGCGGATTCCCGGTTTTTAATCATTCGTTGTTGACGTTTCAATGTTTTCAATTCACTGTCCATCTGAGCATGATTGTTGAGTGGATTCAAGGCACTAAGATGGCTATGATGAATTGATCCTTCACTTACCACTTGACCATGTTGGGGTGAAGAACTTTCAATATTTGTGATAAACATTCTTGAATCACTCTGTGCTACTGGTTTTGGTTTTATTTTCACTTTAGAATCCATGATGGAATTGATGTTTAATGATTTTCGATGTGGAATGATGAAAGTTGCATATGTTTGCATCCCCTCTAAATGATTTAGCTGATTTTGTGTCTTAGTTGTATCTGATGTCACCATGTTCTGAACTGGTTGCTGTAGGACACTTTTGACTGAAATGTTGCAATCTGAACTACAGAAGATTGGGGATTGTGGCTCGAGTTTCATTACCTCAGACTGGGGCCAGTTACCATCAGGGGTATTGGCTGACCCTATTCCGCTGTCTGAACTGTCACTGAGCTCAGTGTGAAGCGATTCTTCTGTAAAGTATTCTGGAAATAGTTCATTGGAATACACGTGGTCGTTCATATCGAAATTTTCACTGTCCTCATTTGCTAGCTTGACTGTCTCTTCATCCAGTGTCAAAATGGGTGTTTCGACATCAAAATTATTATTGTTGAGAAAAATATCTTGCCTTTCGTTCCATAGGAAAGCCATTGTTATGATGTGTTAAATTCATAAAAGTCAATATATATCGACGTACAGTTTAAAATATCGGTATCTGTTGACTTCGTTCCTTAAAAATATGTGACCGGACGTTTCGTCCCATGTCGAGTCGCGTTAAGACCATTCAATCAAAAACCTTCTGCAAAGGTCTGTGTTACTTATTATGTATGTTCCATTTTTTCCCTACAGAATACAGATCTAAGGCCAAAAGAAAAAATACTCTTGTTTCCTGTCCCCTGACCAAAAAATAAGGTAAGTATAGGTAGGGAAAAAATTATTTTGAGAAAAAATTTTATCAAAACTCAATGAATGCAGAACATATAGCATATAATAAAAAGAAAACAGCATATTGCAGTTTACAAAGCAAGTTTGTTAATAAAGATTTATAAAGTAAAGGTATCCTGTAAACTTATGATGTATTAGTTCTGTAAATATTGTTGGTCGACTTTGCAGGTATTTCAAAAACTAGCCTCCAAAATTGGAAAATGTAAAAAAAAAAAAAAAAAAAAAAAAAAAAAACTTTTAGGGTCGGAGGGTAAAATTTAGGGTAGGTCGGTTGACAGGAAACAAGAGTATATTTTATTTTGGCCTAAATATAAACAATAAAAAGCTTACGCGGGTAATGTACAAAGACACTCCCCATCTTAATTGTTTAAAAAATGTTATATCTATAGTAGACAGTGGCGGATGTAAGGGGGGGGCTCATCCGGCGACCCCCCCCCCCCACCTCCCAAAAAAATTGTCAAAATTAACGTAAATCACAGTTTCGTCTAGAAAATGTTAATATGTATACTTGGTAGACCTCACTTTTACCCTACAAAAACTCTAGAATCCATGAGTTTTCGGGGGCTTCGCCCCCTGGGCCCCCACCAGGGCTTTGCCCTGGACCCACTGGGATGCCTCAGGGCGGCCCCCAGACCCCTTGCCTACTTTTGGCGCCCCCTCTAACTTTAATTCCTGGATCCGCGCCTGGTAGAGTAAATGTATATTTTTTTAACAGTTAACATGATTAATATGGGGAGTGCCCGTGGTTATGTATTTTAATTTTCTGTAACAGCTGCGACATTAATTTCCGTACTAACAACCGATGAAAGATTTCTTTTTAAATTATTTACGTACACATGTATTTATTATAAATCTATTTTTGAGATCATTCTTTAAAAAAATACTTTCACAAAAATGTTTCTTTTAGTTTTTCCTATCAACATGATCAACAAACTAATTTATTATTAATTTTTTTTACTGAGAGCTTCCAGCTGCAGCGCGTCAATACATTTGCCTCCTTTTGACCCCCCCCCAAAAGGGGGGGGGGGTGAGAGGGAAAAAGTTTTTAAAATAATAAATATCTACTGCAACCTAGCTCCAAGCACTTTCTTTTGCAATATACTATTCATGTATATCGTACACTCTAAAGTGTTTGCAGACTCTTTGTAAAAAGTATTGTTCAAAGGCAACGTTAAACTGTTTAACCTGTGATACAACGAACTTCATATCATGTCATATGGGATTAGGGTGAGAGTGGCGGTAAAGGGACTCAACAAAAAATCTAACTGTTACCATGGTTACATGCAGAAATAATCACGGCAGGGAATACGACCTTAAATCAGTTTTTTTTTTTTCTTCTATAGTATAGTTTCCATGTATGCTGACAAAACAGGGAGTAACACTTACATAAGAAAATTCACACATACATTTTAAATATGGCTTCTTTTTTTTAAATTTGTGACAATGCTTGGGGGGAAAAACGGAAACAATCATAAGATATATATCTCTTGTTTTTTCAGCGTAGAATATATAATAAATGTATTTCAGCAAATGTACCCCACTGTCGGAAATTTGAATAATGTTGAATTATGTTGCTTGCAGGGAATTTTGTGATTTAAATGTGTTTTCAAGCTAGGGAAAATGTTAAATATCAGAATACACAATGTGTTATCACTTATTATCCCTATCATCATGATAATCATGGCGATTCAGATACGAAACATATTGTAATCGACATTTTAAGTAAATGAATTACTAAGTAAATGAATTAAGATCTAACGTATTGCTATTTAAATATATGTTGTTTGCCATTGTAGCATAAAATATCCTAGTAGCGTAAAAGAATGGGGTTCGAAATTTTTAACAAACTACCCATAATCCTGATCGCGTATTTTCGGACCTTTCCGGTTGTACACGCTCGGCTGTCTCCGTATACTCAGCGCCGTGCTGGTAAAATAAGTACACAGAGGTGAGACGACGTCTGATGTATAACCAATAATTAAAATAAACTGGTTTACATTTAACGCTGTTTTCATATTAATAAAACACAAAAAAGGAAATCAATTGGAAAGAGAATAAATTATTGCTTAAACATGCTATGATATCAAATTTCTGATTAACTGATAGTACTATGTTTATCGCATACTGCACGTGTTTAAATTCCGGTTCTTCGAGACGCTCCAATGCAAGCCCTGGAACGAAGAGAAGACAAACACATTGACTACATAGACTCAAAAAAAAGACAACATGACGGAGATGAGAAAACTCCTGTCTTTTTTCTTATCTTCACTTAAAACAGTCTTCCATTACGGATTTATTCCCACCGTTATATATTTAGGTATTTGTC